TGACATGATAAAAATTTCCTATAACACAGAATACATAATTTCTAACTTTTGATAAAAATTAATTGATATATGAAGAAACAGAAAAATGTGCTCTGTAGTCAAGATGAAAGGGAAACAAATACTGAGCTAATCCAGATGTTGAAAACAGCAGATTGGACATTTAAAGTAGTCACTAATAATAGGTTCAAAAACTTGAAGGAAAATATGGAAAAATGAAATAACAGATGTGTCATTATAGCAGAGAAATTGAAATTATAACTTAATTAATCTTAATAAATAAAAAGCCTAGAACAGAGAAGTAAATAACCAAAATGAATTAATTCACTGGTGGACTATCAGATGGGAGATGGCAGAGAAGTGGTCTGTGAACTTGAATTCAAATAAGTAGAAATAATCTAATTTGGAGAACAGAAAGAAAGAAGATAGAAGAAAAAAAGCAGACTCAGTGATATGTGGAAAATTATCAAACAATCTAACATATGTATTTGAAAAACTAATGGTCAAAATTTCTGAATTTGATGAAACCATAAACTTACAGGTATAAAAACTCAATGAATCTTAAAGAGCTTTAAACAGAGAAAACCATACATAGGATTATTATTATCAAACTTCTGAAAAACATATTTTCTCTCTTGTTAATTTATTTAAAAGATATAAATGTTTAACACAAAAATTCTAATAATATATTTAGGTTCCTATCATGTATAGATGCAATGTATATGGCAATAATGGCACAAAGAATGAAGATAAAATGAAACTATACTAATGGAAGGTTCTTATATTTTAAGTGAAGTATATCAATATTTACAGGGAGTGGACTATGAAGTGTTAAGAATCTATAAGTGTATTGTAATCACTACAGTCATAAGTTAAAAAATGCAGAAAACTTTTACTCCTCAACTGACACTATTATGAAAATGAAAAGGCAAGTCATAGACTGAGAGAAATTTTTGCAAAAGTATATTCAGTAAAAGAATTGTATTAGAATAAAGTTCTCTTACAATTCAAGAAAATAATAAGCAAAATTACAAATGGGAAAAAGAGTTACAGACACTACATTAAAAAATAAAAGATTCCTAATAAGCACATAAAAACCTCTTTAGTCATCAGGGAAATGCAAATTAAAATTATAATGAAATACTAAAATTCATCCAATAGAATAGCCAAAAAAAAAAAAAAAAAAAGAAAGAAAACACTGACTACACCAAGAGATGGAAAGGATGTGAAAAAACTACAACTCTCATACCTTGCTGATGGGAATGTAGGAAGGAATTGCTAGTTTGTTAAACAGTTTGGTAGTTTCTCATAAAATTAAGCATGTACTTATTATGTGACTCAGCAATTCCACTTTTAGGTATTTCCCAGGAGAAATAAAAACATATGTTCAAACAAGTACCTGTATGTGAGTGTTCAAAATAGCTTTGTTTATAATGGTCAAAATCTGGAAAAATGTCCATCAGCAGGTAAATGGTAAACAAATTGTGGTATATCCACATAAGGGAATACAATTCCACAATAAAAGCATTAATTACTGAATATATAACATGGGTGAATCCCAATAGCATTATGATAAGTGCCAGAAACCATATAGAAAAGAAAACATACTGGATGTAATAAATTTATTTAAAATTCTAGAAAAGAGAAAACTATAGTGATAGAAAACACTTGTTTCCAGAGACCAGGTGAGAAGGAGATTGACTGCAAAATGGCATGAGGGAACTTTTTGGTTCAGTAGAAATGTCCTATAACATGATTGTGATGATGGTTACATGATTACATACATTTTCAAAAGTTAACAATTGTAGACTTAAAATTGATAATTGTATTCGGTACATATTAAACCTCAATAAAACTAAACCCTGTGAAAAACCCAACAAACTAAAACAAACAAACAAAAAGGTGTATGGGGATTAATCTTTCACGTAGTATTAAAAAGCTAAATATCTGCTTTGGTTTTATTAATGAAAGCAGAGATTATTCATTAGAAAATATCCAGTCATGATGTCAGAGGCGTTTGAACCAGAGTGAGCTACTCCATTTTGAGTGAGGGCTAGGAAAATAGGAAAATGAGTCTGAGACGTACTGGGTTACATTCTCAGAAAGTTAGGCATTCTTAACCTCCAGATGTTTATGGTTAAGGGAACAAATTAATAATGTTTACTGAACAGATCCAGACTTGGGAGTGTCCAGATATCCTGATATCTGTAGAACAAAGGCATTCCTAATTTTGCTTTAAAGATAATAATATCGATTCTTGCAAAATATAGTAATTAAGAAAATTAATATGTTATCACAAACCCTTGTAGCAGGACACATCTCCCCAAATATACGAGCATTGTACCTAGGGTGGATGCACTCCTCCTCTTACTTTCAGGAACGTCCTACTCCGTCTATGGAGTAGCTGTCTTTTCACCACTTTACTTTCATAAAAAACTTGCTTTTACTTTGCACTGTGGACTCGCCCTGAATTCTTTCTTAAGGGAGATCCAAGAACCCTCTCCTGGGGCCTGGATCGGGACCCCTTTTCTCTAACGATTAGTCAGGCCCAGCATGCCAGGGTGTATAATTGAAAGAGCTATTTGATGTAGTGAACAAAAGGATGGGATATTTACATTTATTCATTTTGTGAGTGTTAGGAACAAAATAAAATTCGATTGTAATACCAAAAAAAAAGAAATATGTATAAATAAGTGGTATGCATGAAAAATATTAAGATAATAAAATACAAGGATTGGGTGAGAAATTATTTCAGAGTAAGGGAGATTACAGAAATAAGAAAACTGAAAATGCATGATTGTGGATTGAATCCTATCCCAGACAAGAAAAAATAATCTATAAATGACACAATTGGAACAATTGATAAAATTTGATTTTGAACTGTAGATTATAATATATCATGTTAATATCATCTCAATTTTTTTATTTTATAATTGCATTGGAGTTATATAAGTGAATTTTCTTGTTCTTAGGAAATGAAGACTGAAGTGGCTAGAGTGCATGTTGTATACAATTTACTGTCAAATGCTTCTAAAAAAAAACAGAATAATGGAAATGGGACAAAATGCAAACAGTTAATGAACCTGGATAAGGAGTTTCTTGTACTATTCTTGCAATTGTTCTTTTAAGTTTGAAATAATATTAAAATTAAAAGGTTATTAATACTATATGGGGGTGGGGAACTGGGCCCAAAATTAATTATATACTTACTGGAGTAGTTCTGTCAAGGGATAATTAGGAGTAGGTTTAATGCATTTAATGGTTACTAGGTTTAATGCCTGGTAGTGTGAACAACTACTTTATATTATTTTTGTGTTTAAAATGAAATAGTAACTTTAATTTGTTTTTTACCTTTGTTAAGAAATTTGCAAAATAACTATGCATTTTATTACGGCCTTTTAATATTTTTGCCTGCTTTGTTTCCTAAGAATCTAAATTTTCATTTAAACTTGCTATGAAAAAGCTATAGTTTATGCACCCTTCTCTAAAATAGAAGAAAACATAAAAATAGAGCAAAGAAAACTCTAAAAATGGAAATTTAGTTATTATAAACAGAGGTTGAAGAAATATATTCTTTAAATATTGTAGCACTAAATCATTCAGAACCCATTTGTGTGCCAGTGTCATGCTAAATCTTAGTAAAATGAACTAATACAGAAAAAATCTCCCAGACGGTGAGGTTCAGAATTCATGGTTTCATACAGTGCCATGGCTATCCATCACTACCTTCCTGTTCCTTGAAGCTCTTCTACTTTCACCTCCTGCCTTTCAGCAGAAAAGTCAACATCAGATGCTGTTTTCTACACTGGAAACTCAGACTCTTTTGTAGTTTAACAGGATAATTAACAGGTATTAAAGACGTAAGTGAGGCTTTCTCCCAGAAGGAATTAGAAGAATTGACTAGGCATTGACTGGGCATGAAAAGAGACGAAACTTTAGAGTATTTGCACTATGAATTATAGGAATTTGTGAAGCTAAATCATGGGAAAATAAGGTCCTATTTCCTCCCAATGACAAACTCTCTAGCAGTTGGGGGAGGGAGATATTGCAGGGAGTTCCTAATACAGGCAAAAAGTTGTCCCTCCTCCCACACCTGCACACAAAAAACTGAAATAAAATTCTGTTACAGACTCACATGAAAATGAGAAAGAACAAAATACGTAATATACAAATGAGATTCTGGGAGTAATGAGCCAACTGTACTTGATTTTAATCACTATTCTAATATTGTCCAGGTATCTACTTTAGTCTTTAATTGCATTTTCTGTAAAATAAATCCTAATATGCAATTATTTTAATGACTAAAGTACATTTAACTTAGTATGATATTTAGCTCATAACAAATATAAAGTAGAAATTGTTATAATTATAAAATGGTCAATGTATATTATATAATTTGTACGTTTTATAAATTTATATTTATGAAAATCTCAAGGTTCAATTCCAACAGTAAGTATCCCAGTTTGTCCAATCCACTATTATATTTATTATTCTATCAGGTGCTGAGATTAGGTTGGAGCCAGGGACTAATATAAGAAAAAAAAACAGCTGAAGCAAAAAGGTTTTTTAAGAAAAATTTGCAGTAAAGAAATACAGCTTCAATGTGCTTCTTTTGTCTTTAAGTACAGCCTCATCTCTCTCTGCACAGAGGCAGCATGGTGTTCTGATGAGGAACTTTGGCAACAGAACTAGACTGCCTTGTCTTAAATCCTGGCTAACCCCTGGCTAACCATGTAACCTTGGGAATAATCATATTCACTTGTGGGATTCTTGTGAGAATTAAATGAGCTAAATAGAGAAAGCATTAAAAGGAGTATGTGTCTAGTATACAGAAGATATCTGCTCAATAAAGAGAAAGAAGTCCTTTAGTAATGTAACGCCTCTGGTCACTGAAAATTTTCCATAATTACTAATTTGGAAAAAAAAAAAAAAAAAAACCAACCCTAAAGATACACATTATCCTTAGTTCCAAAGCAGTGATTATGGCAATTAAAGTGTCATACCTTGTAAACTGCCAAATGCAAGGCTGTAAATCCATTTCTTGACAGTCGAGATGGGCGGAGCCCTTTTAACATAAGAGTTCGAATATGTGATTTGTTGCCTTAAAGAGAAAAATGAAAGAAGGCTAAATCGTTGTGGGGATGGGGTGAGTTTAAGAGTCTCTTTGACTTAATGATAAATGCCATACAGCTGTTTAAAAATGTCAAGCTGCTGTTCTGCGGGCCATTTGTAAAGTTTTCTATTAATTGGCAACCTTACTTAGTAGGGGATATTTCTTTTCCGTTTTTTCCATTTATAAAACTTTATTCAAATGCTGTGTATTTTGATTCTTCATCTTAGATTTTTTTATTTAGTATCCTCATCATCGGATGGTTTTGAAACATAAACACATAAGAGGATTCACCATAATAAACTATTAGTGAAAAAGCTTAAATTAAAAAATCTAGTTGTAGAGGATTTATCTGAACATTATTAACAGTAGAGCTTATTTAGATCAAAGAAATATGAAGGATATAACCAAGGTTGGGAAGGCACATTTAAAGTTGAGAGAACAATCTGTTAAGTAGAGTCTGTTTGGTTTGTTTGGGAGAAATGGTTAAGGAATATGGTTAGAGTTGACACACATTTCTGTTCCATTTTAAGAAGTTAAGTTCAACGAATTTAGTTTGGGTTAACAAAATAAATATTAATGGTTCATTCATTAATTCAATAACTTTACTGAGTGGATATTATATGCCAGGCACCATTCAAAGTGCTTGAGATACATTAATAAACAAAACAAATTAAGTGTAAGCCAGATTAAACTCTTAATCTTCACTTTCATCAATCCTTACTTTTAGATTTTATCTTTGGCATTTGTCACTTTTCCACATACCCTTGTTGAAGATTGTGAAGCAACTGCTTGATGCTATTTGGGGGAATCTTTAACTGCTTCTGAATTTAAGTTAATCCCTGACTGGCATGCCCAATATTGAAAAGAGATTTTTGATTTCCAAGCAAATTGAGTGACTTGGTTTCCGGTAGGAACACAATGAAGCTTAAATTGAAAGCTAAATCAATTGGAATATTCTGCCTGATAGTTACTGCCTAAACTGAGATTATCAAGGTTGGAAAAGGCAAAGCAGAAGAGAAAATTGAGCATGAATAGAATTCTCTTGTAGACTATTAAGCAGCTCAAGTCACTGATGATATACACATATAACCAGTTTAAGAAGTACTAAGTTTCAAGTACTCACCTCCACAAATGCAACATAAATGAAGTAGAGACAGCCCATTTTCAGTGCGGTAATTTAAATTGACTTTACTGAAGGCTTCATCAGAGCTGAAAAAAACATTTTACAGATGATCACAAAATTCATCTTTTAGCATATTGTCTTTCATTTGAAAATTATAAATGCAAATTCTGTTACTATCAATTCAGAAATGTATTTTTTCTAAGATTATTTTGTACTTACAGAAAGAATCTTGAACCCTCTATATGAAGAATTAAAATTGAGAGGAAATTCTGTAGTTTTACATTGTAATGATGTCACCAGAAATAACACTATGTTTCCAATAGTTGCTCCAGAATCACTGACAGCTACTAGGTGTCACAATAGTGAATTTAGTGCCACTTTTTAAAGACAAGTAAAACCAAGGTCAGACATAATCTAGGAACCTGAGAGTCACTGTTAGTAGGGAATACTTATACAATACATATATAAAATTGATTATTATTAAAATCAGAAAATCAGAAATCAGAAAATTGTTGTCAAATATAAAAGGCCAAGAAAAGTCAAATATGACATGAAATTATAGGAGACAAGAAAGACCTTCCCCTTTGCCTCTCTGAAGGTTTGCTGAAATCAACTGACAAAAGGGACATTAATAGAAGAAAAGGCATAAAATATATTTGACCATAGTTTTAAAAGGCACAAGACACACAAGACATAAGAGCCTTCAGAATGAAGACTCAAAGATACAGGAACAACTCTGTAAGTTCTAGTTTCTATGACCTGCCTTGAGGGGAGAAGGATTCTAGTCTCTATGGCTATCCTCTGGGGAAAATGAGGGGCCAGAGACAAGAGGACAGGAGGAGGTCAGAGAGAAAGTTTTGCTTCTAAGGCTGCTTGTAGGGCTTTCATTTTGAGGTGTCATTTTCTGAGCCTCAACAAAAATGATGCTAAAATTACCCGAAGAGTTATACTTCACAAAGAAAGTTGTATATTCACAGTGAAGTTGGCAATGTTAACAACAGTGCAAGAATCATTTTTTGATTACATATCACATGCCAGATACTGTAGTAAGCACTTAACCTTACTTATTCCTCACCAAAGCACAATGTCATGCGTATTGTCACATATATTATTTTACTCATTTTATAATTGAAGAAATTGAAGCTTAAAGAGGTTAAATAATTTGCCCAAATTGGAAAAAAGAGAACAAACTACTTAAAAGGCAGAATCAGGATAAGATTTGAATCCTGGTGTAACTGTAAGAACAAGGCTTTCAAGGATTACCACGCTGATGAAATGATTTTTTCCACTTTGAAAACATCAAAACATAACAGGTATTGCTATATAACATTGGACATACATACTGAAAAACTGCATTTTCTCAGGGGTTTATTGCTACATAGGAGCTCCAAAGCTTTTTCTTCTTTCACTATTTGCCATTAAGTTCATTATGGTTAGCTCAAAAGAACGTGCATCCTTCCATCCTTCTGTGTTTTGCTTAGGCTGCTGGTTACATAGTTTTTCTTAGGATCAGAAGGCCTCTCTCACCTCCCCCAACCCAATACTTTGTTTTCTTTCTTGTGGTTTTATACTATGTTTCATTTGCTGGACAATAGAAAGACCAAGGAAGAAAAGCCAAAGCAGCTCAGAGCTGAATCATTGTCCATCAACATTCTCAGTTTCCAGTCACAGTTTCCTTTCCCTTTTTATTTATGGACACTGATTTCCTACAACCTTTAAGAGAAAAATCCAATCTACCTAGCTTGAAAGGCAGAGTTCAGCTCTGCCGAATACCTCTACTATTTGAAGTCATAACCACAAAGAAGACCTCTGCGACCTGTAAATTCATTTCCAAGTGTGTTCCAAGTACCTAGTTTACTTTTTTCCAAGACATCCATAATATATTTGGGTTCGCGGGTTTAAAAGCCTGGCTGAGCCCAAAGACTACACATTTCTAAGAATCATGTTATTTTGTGAAGTTACTGCAATACCATAAACAGCTCTATCATTTATAAGTAGGCTCATTTTATTATAAGTGGACATTTGAAACAGTGGTACTTTCATCAGAAATGATTTTGATTGCCGTATTCTTTGAACTGAGGGAAATTGCTGATAGAAGTGAGTTAAATTCTTAACTATCTTCATGAAATTCTAAACTCCCTGCTTATATGATTAACATTTATAAACACTGGAGTTTATTGTACTTCTACAAAAGGCTTTCCAAAGCAAGTTGAGTTGTGTTTTCCAGTATTAGTAAGCTGTCGACATGTTTTGCTGCAGGGAAACACAGAAAGCAAGAAAGGTAGGAGGGTAAAAAAAGTTTGAGAATACTGTATTCCCACGACTGTGGAAACAAACCACAAGACTTGCCATTTCTAATTAAAGCATTTCACTGAGGTTCTTCAATGACCCTGGATTTAGAGCCTTTCTCTTTTCAGCAGTACCTTGGAGAATAGCACCTTTTCTTTTTCTATTTTAAAATTCCAATAGCTTTTGATGTTCTTAACTGGGTGCCTTGATGATAATGTTCTGAATTTATAGTACCTTTCAAGTGTAAGTACTTTACAAGTGATATGAGACTTTGGCTCACTCACCAAAGACTATGCTATCTCTCTAAAGCTGCTAGAGATTTAAATAGGCAGGAGGCAGCTTGAAATTGACCTGTAAGGCCAAGGATATGATCTCATTTCTACTGAAAAATGTCCTGGGAGCATCATGGACCTCAAGAGGTCGAGAATTTTAGCTTTACATTCCTTTTGAAAGGCTACCTGTGGCTCTCTAGGGCCCTCCTGGGGCAATGGTCTTTGTTCAGACAAAGACAAGGATTTCATTAATAGAATCACTCCACTTCTCACCAGGGACTATATCACAGTACCTTACCAGAGTTTAGACCTTTATCTGTGAAATCTGACCCAGTCAGAGTACAAGAGAACTTTGCTTCAGGCAGAAGTTGTAATACACTGGGATTATATTCTTTTTTCCAGTATCTTATCAGATGCTACTTCCCCCCCACCTTTCTTTTTGGAGGGATTTTCCTGAATTTCTCCTTAGATACTATGTGAGATTTTGGGTGTGAGTGAAATGAGTTTACTTTCAGATGTCTGTTTTCTATTCATAATTTTTATTTATCAAGGTGCCCTGAAAAGTTTAAATTATACATAGAACACAGAACTGCACATGAGATTCTCTTATTTAAACTTGACCTCTCAAACTTTTAATATTACTGTATTTTCAACAGTGGAGATATTCAAAGAATGAAAACTGCAAAGGAGGGAAAAAAGGTTAAAGTTGAAATGAAAATCACTTTATTTGAGAGGGTAAACTCAATTGCTTTCTTATTCTGTGATCTAACTTTGATGATCCGTTCAATAATTCTGGCACAACACCTACTAAACACCTACTACATGCCTCGCTTCTGCTCTTAAGGCTCACTTCAGGTTGTGTTCAAGAGTCTCCTTGATATAAACTACTCACTAATTCCTGGATCCTTTGAATGCATCCGTCCTGGAAATATACATACTAGATAAAATCCTGAAATTGACTGTTGCGTTAGTCCTGATATCTAATACTCTGATCAGCTTTGCAAAACAAATGAACATGGAATAAACAGAAATACAAGATGCCAGGGTCCATTCTTGATTTTTTAAAAAGAAAGGCACTAAGTAAATGTTTATTATTTACATAAATAAAATTGAAAGCAAGATTAATGACTCTTTATTCAACAATTATTCCTCAGCTAACTGAATCTTGAACTAGACTTTACCATCTATAAGTGACTCAGTATAGAGTCCTCGAGTTCCTTGCTTTAAACTGAGCTGCTCCTTGTTGCTTTTGTTCTCCTTTTGAATTATATCCTCCTTGAACTGATGCAACTTCTATTAATGTCAACAAAATGAATCAACAGAGAATAGACTCCTGTAATATTTGGCAGTCAAGTGTGATTTTAATAGTACAATTTTTAGTTCAACTTTAATAACTGGAATGTACATTTTTAAAATGAGAGTTACTTTGGGGGCTATATTTGAATCCTAATTCTCACTTCCCATTAACTTCTAGTCAAACGTTTCTGTTTTGAAACATGTAATTAAAATATTCAAGATATTTAAGCAATCATTCCTAGGAGAGAAATTTCATTTTCTCTTCTTTTGCCTCTTCTAAAGTAACTGTGTATGTCAAATTCACTGCCAATTGAGCATCACTTATGTATTCTAATACCCTAAGCTCAATTTATTTTTTAATTTCCCCTTACATTTTTCATCACCTGCCATGCCACACTGTAACTTAACATATCCTAATGAGTTCATCGTGCATGCTGGGGCATGAATGAAGTTCCTAATTAAAATAAAGCCACTATTATGAATATATTTCTAATAGTAAATGCTGTTCTTAATCATTAAAAATGATAGTTCTGTACCCAAAGGTTACTTTCTTTCTTGTAGCATAATGAATTCTTTTCCTAGCCTTTACCTTTTACCCAGAAAAGTGTGCAGTTTTGTGATCCAATTAAAATTCTTTTTCATGACCTCATCCTTTCAAGAAGATATCTGACATGAATGACCACAAGTGGGAACTTATTAAAATGTAACATTTGAACAGTCGGCCAAAAAATAACACACTGCTGTCCAAGCTATTCAGACAGGTAGATACATTTTAAAGCTAATTCATTGGTTGAAACTTAGGGGAAAGCCAATAATGTAGAAAGAAGGTAAGGATTTTTTATGGGTCGTCTCATTTCCCAAACTGATCATTTAAGTTTCAAATGGCTAGTTGCAACTTCTTGCCTATTCATTGCAGATTCTTCCCTGCCCCATGCCCTCCAAGCAATAGAAGCAGACAAATAATAAGATATGTTTCTAACATATATCTCCAAGAAATATCCAGAAATATATTTGTTCAATATCTTCCAAATAAAATCTGCAAACTAATACTGTGAAGTATGTTCATTTATTCAGCCATTCATACAATAAACAATTATAGAGTTAGAGTGACAGATACAGCAAGAATAGCTAAGTATCATAAAATTGATGTAATAATTGTTACCTCATAAGATTGTTGTGAAGTGTAAATGAGTTAGAGTTTGTAAAACTGTTATAAATATTAACTGCTA